GCCTTAGCCGGTTGAGCTATAGGCGCCGAGCCAACTTGAGGTATTTTCGATTTAACTATGGGTCAATCAGGATATAATCCCATTGTAATGTGAAAAGCATCTGTATTTGCAACATAAACAACCCATACTGATTTAATAGCAAGAATAGTTAAAGATTATATATCCTTACATTAATCCAAAATTTAAAAAAGGAAGCAAAAATTGAAGAACCCTTGCAAAACTTTAAAAGATAGTCCAATAAAAAGTAGACAGAAGAGAAGAAAAATGGAAAATACAAACCTCTTAAAAAACATGAAAGATGGTCTTATTAGTATTCAGTATTAGTATAGTAAAATGCAAATCAAAATCACATTGAGGGGGCAGCACCTGTGGCTCAAAAGAGTAGAGTGCTGCACCCATATGCCAGAGGTGGCAGGTTCAAACCCAGCCCCGGCCAAAAAAATAATAAAAATAAATAAATAAATAAATAAAATAGGGGCGGCACCTGTGGCTCAAAAGGGTAGGGCACTGGCCCCATTTGCCGGAGGTGGCGGGTTCATAACCCAGCCCCGGCCAAAAAAAAACCCAAACTACACTGAGTTATCATATTATCTTCATTAGATTGGCAGAAATTAAGATGTTCTGATGATCCCAAGGGCTGGAGAAGACATAATTGACAGGAATTATTTTCTGTGACAGGGTCTTGCTGGGTTGTCTGGGCCAGAGTGCAGTGACTGTGGGAAGGAATTCTCATGACACTGACAAGAGTGCAGCCATTTTGGGAAACAGCTGGTGAGAGAAAGCAGGCCAGAGACCAGACTGTCTGGGAGCCCCTCTCCACTCCTGAAAATGCTTCAAGGCCATTGTTCCTGGGAAACAACAGAACAGTAACTTTCTACCTAGGGGAGTAACTATAGTAACTATTGGGCCTTAGTGCAAAAATCAGTCCCTCTATAGAAGATAATCCCCTCTAGCAACCCCCTCCCACATTCAACCCTACAGATTAGGGGCAATAAAAGCCTCTTGAGACTATGAGAGCAGCTGGCTCCTGGTCAGACTCCACTCTACCTTTATCTCTCTCTTTTTTTTTTTTTTTGCAGTTTTGGCCAGGGCCAGGCTTGAACCCACCACCTCTGGTATGCGAGGCCAGTGCCCTACTCCTTGAGCCACAGGTGCCACCCCCTACATTTCCCTTTGCCAAATAAAAGCCTTTCCAATCTGGCATGGTGGGTCACACCTGTAATCAGCACTCTGGGAGGCCAAGGTGGACAGACTGTCTGAGCTCAGGAGTTCAAGACTAGCCTGAGCAAAATGAGACCCCAGCTAGTTTTTCTTTTTTTGTTTTTTTGTTTTGAGACAGAGTCTCAAGCTGTAACCCTGGGTAGAGTGCCATAACATCACAGCTCACAGCAACCTCAAACTCTTAGGCTCAAGCGATCCTCTTGCTTCAGTTTTTCTATTTTTAGTAGAGACAGAGTCTTGCTTTTGCTCAGACTGGTTTCGAACTCATGAGCTCAAGCAATCCACCCACCTCGGCATCCTAGAGTGCTAGGATTACAGGCATTAGCCACCGCACACAGCCATAGTTTTTCTATTTTTAGTAGATATGGGGTCTCGCTCTTGCTCAGGCTGGTCTCGAACTCCAGACAGAGCTCAAGTAATCCACTCACCTCAGCTTTTTAGAGTGCTAGGATTACAAGTGTGAGCCACCACACCCCACTGGCAACTTTTTAAAATAGTTTTTTTTTTTTTTTTTGAGACGGAGCCTCAAGCTGTCCCCCTGGGTAGAGTGCTGTGGCATTATAGCTCACAGCAACCTCCAACTCCTGGGCTCAAGTGAGTCTCTTGCCTCCGCCTCCCAAGTAGCTGGAACCACAGGCGCCCACCACAACGCCCGGCTATTTTTTGGTTGCAGCCGTCATTGTTGTTTGGCGGGTCCAGGCTGGGGATTCGATCCCGCCACCTTAGGTGTACGTGGCTGGCACCTCAGCCGGTTGAGCTATAGGCGCCGAGCCTTAAAATAGTTTTGTTTTCTTTTATTAAGATATCATATACCTATAAGTAAAGAAAACAGAACTTTGGATGGTGCCCATGGCTCAGTAGGCAACAAATAGCTGGGTATTGTGGCGGGCACCTGTAGTCCCAGCTACTTGGGAGGCTGAGGCAAGGGAACTCCTCCTAAGCCCAGGAGTTGGAGATTGCTGTGAGCTGTGACGCTATAGCACTCTACTGAGGGCGATAAAGTGAGACTCTGTCTCCATAAAAAAAGAAAAAAAAAAAGAACTTCAGGTGTATAGTGTAATGAACTTTTTTTTTTTGTAGTTTTTGGCTGGGGCCAAGTTTGACCTGCCACCTCCAGTATATGGGGCCGGCACCCTACTCCTTTGAGCCATAGGCGCAAGAGTGAGACTCCCAACCCCCACCCCGGCTTAACACCTATAGTTCAGTGGTTGGGGTGCCGGCCACATACACGGAGGCAGGCAGGTCTGAACCCAGCCCGGACCTGCTAAACAATGACAAGTACAATAAGAAAATAGCCAGGGGCGATGCCTATGGCTCAGTGGGTAAGGGCGCCGGGAGTTGGAGGTGGCTGTGAGCTGTGACACCAGAGCACTCTACTGAGGGCGATGAAGTAAGACTCTGTCTCAAAGAAAAAAAAATAAGAGACCCCTGTCTCTAGTAAATAGAAAAATTAGCTGGGCATTGTGGTGGATGCCTGTAGTCCTGGTTACTCAAGAGGCTGAGGCAAGAGGTTGCTTGAGTCCGGCAGTTTGAGATTCCTGTGAGCTAAGGGGACACCATAGAACTCAGCCCAGGCAGTAGAGACAGATTCTGTCACACACACAAAAAAGGCTTGGCACCTGTAGCTCAGCAGCTAGGGTGCCGCCCATATACACCAGAGCTGGTGTGTTTGAACCTGGCCCAGGCCTGCCAAACAACTGCAAGCAAGAAATAGCTGGGTGTTGTGGTGAGTGCCTGTAGTACCAGCTACTTGGGAGGCTAAGGCAAGAGAATCGCTTAAGCCCAAGAGTGTGAGGTTGCTGTGAGCTGTGACACCATGGCACTCTACCCAGGGTGACAGCTTGAGACTCTCTCAAAAAAAAAAAAAAAAAAGTCAATCCCAGAAGTCTATTTCCTATAAAGCTCAAAACTAAGCAAACTAACATATCCTGGTTAAGAATCTCTATCAGAGAAGCCATGGGGTGGCGGGTGAATTGCCCTGTACTTAGGAGTTTAAGACCAGCCTGAGCATGAGAGACCCTGTCTCTACCAAAAATAGAAAGAAAAACTAGCCAGGTGTTGTGGCAGGTGCTTATATAGTCTCAGCTATCTGGGAGGCTAAAACAAGAGGATGTTTGGCCCAAGAGTTTGAGGTTGCTGTGAGGTAGGACGCCTTGGCACTCTACAGAAAGCAAGAGAGTGAGACTCTGTCTCAAAAAACCAAAAAGAATCTGAGAAAACTGTGAAGGGGAACAACAAATACAAAATTCAGGACAGTAGTTACCTCTGAGGGGAATGAATGGGGTGGGTTCAAGATACACACACAAATCCCTGGGAGGCATGAGGAATATACTCTTGAATTCAGTGGCTTCCTGTATTTTCATTTTGTCATGGTCTAGATTTGAGTATTTTCTTGGTATGTTGCCCTGGGTAGAGTACCGTGGCATCACAGTTCATAGCAATCTCCAACTCCTGGGCTTAAGTGATTCTCCTGCCTCTGCCTCCCAAGTAGCTGGGACTAGAGGCAGCCGCCATAACGCCCAGCTATTTTTTGGTTGTAGCCATCATTGTTGTTTGGTGGGCCCCACCTGGGCTGGATTCCAACCCGCCAGCTCAGGCGTATGTGGCTGGCACCTTAGCGGCTTGAGCCACAGGCACCGAGCCACTTTGTTTTTTTAGAGACAGAGTCTCACTTTGTCACTCTCAATAGAGTGCCATGGTGTCACAGCTCACAGCAACCTCCAGCTGCCAACACAAAGTAGGTTCTTGGCAAAGCTTCTCTTAAAGAGAAAGTAAAGCAGCCCCAGGACAGTAGGGACTGAGGACTATCTCAGGAGCTGGCAGGAAGGAAAGGGGGTCAGGATGGGGAGACAGGAAATAAGACTCAGAGATATGAACAGTGAAGGCTCCTTCGGCCACGTACTCCTCCTCTCTCCAGTCAAAACTACCACCACTTGAAGCAAAAAAAAAAAAAAAAAAAAAGTCACCAAGCTTTATTTAGGTTGTAATGGTTCCCAACAGCACACACCTAACCCATCCCACAGCCCACAGGCGGTACCCTGAGAAGGTTCAGCTTTCCTTTCCCTTCAGTCTCACTTCTTGTCTTCTTCCTTTTTGTCCTTCTTGCCATCTTTGGTGGCCTGGGAGGCCAGGGAGCCCATGGCATTTCGAATGGCTTCATTGTTGGGATCCACTCCTGGAAGGTTCTCTAGGACACTCTGAAGGAACTCAGGGTCCTGCATCACATCATAATCATCCTCTTCCTGAAAAAAGTTAGAGATTCGTCAGGGTGGGGCACAGGTTGGCAGAGAGCAAGCAGGTGTGACAGACAGAAGCATATGGCCTGAGCCCATCTCTCCTGTGTGGGCACCTCTAACCAAGGGAAGGAAGGGACAAATTGGCAAAATCTACACACAATATGAATGCAAGCACGCATTACTGACCAAATCAAGGAGCCTGAGGATTTCTCTCATTGAACTCAGAGGGTTAAAACAGAAGCCATCACATTCAGGATTCCTGCTGTCACACAGCCAACCCTAATTTATTCTCCTCCCAGATGCTCTATTCACCCTCCAGGAACCTTAGGACCTTTCTCTAACTCTGACCACTAGCATTCTGTGGCCCTTGTGAAGTCTATAGACAAGAAATGCATATCCCAAGTTTCCTTCTCCCATGGGACTCATGTATGGTCCCAAAGAACCCAGCCTTAGAGTGTTAAGGATCTGAATTGTATTTTAAACCTGACGGGGGCAGGTTTGCCCTCACCTTGGCTGGCTCTGATGTGTCCATGGCTGAGCTGGCATCGATATCTCCTGATTCAGCCTGGCCAAACTCTGAGGAAAGAGGTCAATCCGTTCAATTCCATCTCCTCACTAACCCTCTGCATCACCACCCAGGCCCTGGCACACCTGCTCCCTGCAAGGACATCTGCATAGCATATGCGATCTGCTCTTCTTCAGTCATGCTGCTTAGGTCAGGGAGCCCAGTGCGGCCAAACTCCTGCTGGCTGATGGTCATTTTCAGCAGGGCATCATCTGAGTCTGTGAAAAGGAAAAGAGGGGCAGGGTGGAACTGGTGTTGCACCCACACAGACCCACTCCCAAAGCTCTTACCCTGCTGTGCCTCCCCACTCCCCTGCAACATGTGCACCTTGCTTTCAATGCTTAGCACCCCAGCGTCCCAGGACATCAGATTCCACCTCTTTCACCTTCTGTCCCAGTTGCAGCAATACCAGCCTCAGCAGCAGAGGCTGCAGCTGCCCGCCGGGCTTCCTCCTCCTGCCGTTGCCGCTGTTCTTCCATGGAAACACGAAGGGCCTGGTGAAGGACAGGACAAGATCAGACACTCCCTTCCTGTAGTCTCACTGGAGCTGGGGAGTCAACTAAGGGTGTGGGAAGGTGGCATAACAGGCAGCTTCTGCTTCTTCATATGGGGAAGAAACCGGAGGGATAAGCAGTGGTATGGAAAAAAAATGAAGGACTTGGAAGGAAGCAGCAAATGAGAAAGTCTGACACTGGCCCCTGTAGACATTAGATGGATTATGGGGAAGAGGGAGTGGAATCAGGTTGTGGAAACTGAGTGCGTGTCATGGCGATGTTTAGGACTGTTCAGCACTGCTGAATCTCTACAACAGGTATGTCAGTAGAGGACAAAGAAGGACCCCTGTGCTCTACCTGGGATCAACATTTGCTCACCAGGGCCAGCTCAGGATCAGCACTGGGATCCACTCCAAATTCAAAGTCACTGGCACCAAGACCCAGCATAGCACCGCCCTCACCAGCCAAAATGGGGGAGCTGATGAGAGCATCAGCCAAGCTGGGCCCAGGAGGCACCGTCACCAGGTGGGAGCCGCTTCCGTCTTTGCCGTTCAGTGTGTTTACAAAGGCTGTCAGCTTGTCTGTGTTCACCTCCTGGGTAAGGAATAACACACGATGCCCCCTGGCACCTGAAACTCCCCATTCTTTGCCACTTCTGTGCCACTCTCCCACAGCATGGGGCCACCTCTGGGGAAGGATTGTTCTGTTTACAACCAAGTCAGTGCCCCCCAGTCAGTCTCTACTCACCTCTTCCCCAAAATTGATAATGTCAACATTTACTTTCTCCTTCTTGAGGCGTTTAGCCAGTTTCACCAGCTGGGAAGGGAGAAAAATCAAGAAATTTGTTCCATACTTGAGGGTGAAAGAACAGGCTCACAGAATCCACTGGCCTCCCCAAGACCCGGACAGCAACACTGAAACCTGCATGTCCACTTTCCCCAGAACTAAGAGTCCCATGCCTTGGCCAGATGCCCCTAAGGGCTGGAAAGCCTCCTTCCCAAATGCAGGCTGCTGCACTCCCCAGCTGTCTTTTGGACTCACATCCTTCTCGTTGTCCTCCACTGGGCTCCCCACAAAGGCAATGATGCGCATCTTGTGATTCTTGCCCTGTCGGTGCTTCAGAGCCAACTTGCAAAGGAAGAGGAGGTCCTGTCAACCAGCGCTTTCCTCTGTCACTATTCTGTTTCCTATAGTTTCTGGGTACCTCACGTCTACCATCACATAAAACTGAACAACCCCCTTCCTGCTGTGCCTCTTCATGGATGGAGAACAGGGATTAATTATCAGTTCTAGGAATTTTTCCTTTCACAATCCTCAATGATCCTGGGACTCAGACCCCGCCCAGTAACCCCTCTACTCCGGGGTAGCTTCCTTTGGCCCTCTCGCTCCTCTTGCTCTAGGTCTAGCTCAAGATTCCATAGGAGAAATGACTATGTTGGGGGCAGAACCTCAGAGCAGTGACAACAGTCAGGGCCCTGCAAGGACTCACATGGGCCACACGAATGCCAGTGCAGAAGGTGATCTTGCCCTTTGGCTGGACAGTGTGGAGCTTGGACAGGATGCGGCCGGTGTCAGGGGTGAGAGTGGTCAGCACTTCACAGTCGCTGGGATGTAGGAAGAGCATTTTAGGGAGTTCTGGTCAGCACAAGCTCTTCCCAACCTTGTCTGATTCAGCCTTTCCTTAGAGACCTTGACAATAATCAACCTCTATTCTTCTTAAATGCCTGGTGCTTAGGGCAGGGTGAGGTGGCTCATGCCTGTAATACTAGTACTCTGGGAGGCCAAGGTGGGCAGATTGCTTGAGCTCAGGAGTTCAAGACCAGTCTGAGCCAGAGAGAGACCCTGTCTCTAAAAATAGCCAGGGGCTCGGCGCCCAAAGCTCTGTGGTTGGGAGGCTGGCCACGTGCACTGAGGCTGATGGGTTGGAACCTGGCCCAGGTCTGCTAAACAGCAATGACAACAACAATGACAAAATAGCTGGGTGTTGTGGCAGGCGCCTGTAGTCCCAGCTACTTGGGAGGCCAACGCAAGAGAATTGCTTAAGCCCAAGAGTTTGAGGTTGCTGTGAGCTATAAACCACAGCACTCTACTGAGGGCGACATAGCAAGACTCAAATAAATAAATAAATAAATAAAAGCAACAACAAAAGCAATATCGTGGAATCTACAAAAGGGTGGCATGTAATGGGCAGCACACCATATGTTAACAGCAGGTCACATGTGAAAAAACACCACCCACCTACCAAGGCCCCTCCTTCTCTGTCCCCCATACTTGGCCAGTGTGATGAGGCCCACGTTGTTCTCAGGGTTGCTGCGGGTCTTGGAGTGACATACTATGTTGACAGCATCCTGTTGGGCCTGCAGCCGGGTGGGTAGGAAGTCCCCATTCCGCATGTACTCACTGTTGTCCACACTGTCAGATTGGGAAAAAGGATTAAAGAGAAGAAATGTTGAAGAATCTCTCTGAAACCTTCCTTCCAGTTCCAGGGACCCCTTCCCACACCTTTGTGTGAATAGTGGCAGTTCCCAGTCTTTGGAGAACACAGAAATCACCTGAAACCTTTTTGTGCAGTTTTTGGCCAGGGCTGGGTTTGAACCCACCACCTCTGGCATATGGGGTCGGTACCTTACTCCTTTGAGCCATAGGCGACCCCTTAAACTTTTCTTTTTAAATATATAGATGATCAAGTCTTACCTTAACCTAACTTAGAATGACCAAAGGAAAAAAATTTTTAAAATCTCCATAGGCAATTCTGATAAGTAGCAAAAGAGGTGATCTACTGTACCATAGCATATAAAAATTTATTTATTATTATTATTTTTTTGTAGAGACATAGAGTCTCACTTTATCCCCCTCGGTAGAGTGCTCGAGTGTCACACAGCTGACAGCAATCTCCAGCTCCTGGGCTTAGGCAATTCTCTTGCCTCAGCCTCCTGAGTAGCTGGGACTACAGGCACCCACCACAACGCTCGGCTATTTTTTTGTTGTAGTTTGGCCAGGGCCGGGTTTGAACCCACCACCGCCGGTATATGGGGCCAGTGCCCTACTCACTGAGCATTAAGTGCTGCGCATAAAAATTTATTTTAATAAATTTATTTTACAGGCAAGGTGGCTCATACTGTAATCCTAGCACTCTGGGAGGCCAACGCAGGTAGACTGCCTGAGCTCCCACGTTTGAGACCAGCCTAAGGAAGAGTGAGACCCCCATCTCTAAAATAGCCGGTGTTGTGGCAGGTGCCTATGGTCCCAGCTACGTGGCAGGCTGAGGCAAAGGTTGCTTGAGCCCAAGAGTTTGAGCTTGCTGTGAGCTATCACGCCAGAGCACTCTACTAAAGGCAAAAGTAAGACTGTCTCCAAAAAAATTTTTTTATTATCCTATTCTATTGGACAGAGTCTTGCTCTATTGCCAGGCAGGAATGCCAGGGCCTCAGTGTAGCTCACAACTCCAAACTCCTGGGCTCAAAATCCTCTTGAGTGGCCAGGACTACAGGCACACCTTATAAATGCCCAGCTAATTTTTTTTTTTTTTGAGACAGAGCCTCAAGCTGTCCCTCTGGGTAGAGTGCCGTGGCATCACAGCTCACAGCAACCTCCAACTCCTGGGCTCAAGTGAGTCTCCTGCCTCAGCTTCCCAAGTAGCTGGGACCAACAACGCCTGGCTATTTTTTGGTTGCAGCCACCATCATTGTTGTTAGGCGGGCCCGGGCTGGATTCGAACCTGCTACCTTGGGTGTATATGGCTGGCACCTTAGCCACTTGAGCCTCAGGTGCTGAGCCAATTTTTTTAATTTTAGTAGAGACAGGGTCTCGCTCTTGCTCAGGCTGGTCTTGAACTTTTAAGCTCAATCAATCCACCTGTCTCAGCCTCCCAGAGTGTTAGGATAAGAGGCATAAGCCTGGCCTTAAAAAATGTACTTTTAGGCAGCTCCTGTAGCTCAGTGAGTAGGGCACCAGCCATATACGCTGAGGCTGGTGGGTTCAAGCCCAGCCGGGGCCAGCTAAAATCAACAATGACAGGCTCGGCGCCTGTGGCTCAAGCTGCTAGGGCGC